GACGAGTCACACTGTTCTAACTGGCTAAGTTCTTTTCCATATCCTTTGCTTTAACCTAGAATCCAGTACTATTATGTTTTCCTAGTCTTAACTAGCTTAATCAACTACAAAACTCAGAAGGAACTTCCTTATATAGTAAGCAGAAAATTCCCGTGGAAATTACTATAGGAAATTCAAACCCCCAGAGCTTCATAAGTCTCATACGAACAATCAGCAACTGACTCTGCAGCATTTAAACTTAACTGTCAGTACAATAAAAAATAAAATGGATTCATGTTGCTCAACTCATTTAAAGGCAGCAGTCTCCAAGGTTACTTGTTTGTGGTAGAACCCAGGTAATTTGGGAGAGAACTTAGAGAAAGGTCTCCAAGGAAAGGTATTCAGGTATGACACACTCTGCACTTAAACTGGAGTCATTTTTTAATGCAAATTGGAAAGAATCCATTCTATGTCAGTGACCACTTAAATTTTGTTTTGTCATACTTGACAGTATTATTTGTTCTGAGTGTCCTGAAAGTATGTAGCCTAATTGATTCCTTAAAGGGGGTCAGATTTTTAAATAGGAAAATCTATGGAGGTGGAGATTTTGATTTAAAAGAAAACCGTGCAGGGGCTAGGGAAGAGCACTTGGTGCACAAGAGTTTGGATCCCCAGAACCCATGTAAGTGCTGGTTTGTGGGGGAGAGCATACTGTAACACGCTCAGGTAGTGGAAACAAGGGATCCCTGGAGCAGGCTGACTAGCTAAACTAGTCAAATCAGCAAGCTCTAGGTTCAGGTGAGAGACCTTGCATCAGTATATAAGGCAGAGAGCGACCAAGGAAAACAAACTGTCATCAGCTTCTGGCCTCCACATGCATAGGCACACACACACACACACACACACACACACACACATTCACACCCTTGCACTCACACACATGAACATGCATACATACACACCGCACACACACATGCGCTAATAAAGAAAAGCATGTAATGGTTTCCAGTGTAGAATATGAAAGTCAGTAGGAATATTTTGTGATTTGCAGTTCAGGGTACCATAGAAGCTGTTTCTCCTTGGGTGCAGGATTTGTTAGACCTCATCTCAAAATTCTGCCACAAGATATTGTGTGTGTGTGTGTGTGTGTGTGTGTGTGTGTGTGTCTGTGTGTCTATACACTCATGCCACAGAGTACACATAGAGGTCAGAAGACAACCTTGATCATCAGTCCTTGCCTTTTACCTGACTTAAGACAGAGTCTCTGTGATTTTCCTGATATGTGCTCCAGGCTAGCAGACCCAGGAACTTCCAGGGAATCCTGTTTCTGCCTTCCATCTAACCAGGGGAGCACTAGGATTACAGACACTAGCTACCATGCTCAGCTTCACATGAGTTCTTAGAATTCAAACTCAGGTCTGAACCCTTGCTCAGCAAGTGCTGTACACACTGAGCCATCTCCTCAGCCCCACTAAGTGCTTTTTAAATATAAGGGGCACTTTCCTTAAAGAAATAGCATGACAGATACCATCCTACCCAAGTACTTCCTACTTCTTAGTACAGGGGTGAAGTGTGGACACAGATCATATCCAGGGATAATACTCCTCTGGTCACACTGCCATATGTAAACCTCCAGGTGTAAGGTCCCCCTCCATTCCCACACCCCCAGCATGACAATTTCTCTCTACCAAAGCCAGTGCTACCTTTAAATTTATTTATTTATTTATTTTGTGAATGTTTTGCCTGCACAAATGTAAATCCACCATGTGCATGTGATGCCTGCAGAGGCCAGAAGAGGGCATTGGATCACCTGGAATTGGAGTTATGGATAGTTGTTAGCTGCCACGTGAGTGCTGGGAACTGAACCCTGGTCCTCAGCAAGAGCAGTCAGTGTTATTAACTGCTGAGCCATCTCTCCATCTCTTTATACTCAGGGTTAGATTCCATTCTGATTATGGACTTGTGCTCAGCTGTTAAGGTACTACTATGTCCCAAGTGCTGAAGACTCAGCATTGAGCCAGACAAGCCCCTGCTCTCTAGGGCCCTCCAGGTAGTGAGGGACACATGTCCAAATACAACTACTGGCAGAGCTTTGAGATCCCCAGACACATACTGGCATTCAGGAATACACAAGAAATGCTGAACTGGCTGATGGGCACCAGCAGGGCCAAATGTGTTCTAAATTATTGAAAATATATTGATTGCTAAGAGCCACACTCTGAGCCCCTAGCCCTTTCTCTTAGGTATTCCTCTCTTCCATACTATGGCAGAATGAAACCCTAGGCAGCAAGGACCTCAAGTGCTGCTCTTATACTTTTCCCATTCCTTTCTGACTGCTCTTGTTCTTCTGGGAGGAGGTGCCTGTGCCAAGAATGACTAAAAGTTAGCCCTGTAAAGTTCAGGGGGTCCTTGGCTCCTGAATTGGATGTGTCACATCTCTGAGACCATGGGTTGTTAAGTATCACAGGCTCATCAAATGCTTGGGGAGATTGTGAGAAATGAGCCTTAAGAGATGAGTTGATCTCCTAAGCCATTTGAACTTGATTGGACAAGTTATAAAATGTATTTGAAGATGTCTAAGATGGGAACCAACAATTAGATACACATTTCAATTATTTAGATCTAAATAGATTCTATATAATTGAAGGAAAAGCATTGAAGGGCTAGAAAATCTGTGTGTGTGTGTGTGTGTGTGTGTGTGTGTGTGTGTGTGTGTGCATGTGAATGCAGTTCCCTCAGAGACCAGAAGGGAGTGTCGGAGCCCCTGGAGCTGGAATTACAGGCAGTTGTGCACTCAGTGGCCTGAACTTGTCCATTAGGCTAGGCTTCCTGGCCAGGGAGCCCCCAAAATCTGCCTGTCTCCACCTCCCAAGTACTGGGATTTACACCATGCCTACCTTTTTTTACATGGGTTCTTGGGCTGGATCTCATATCCTCATGCTTACATGGAAAGCACTTTACCAACTGAGCTATCCCCTCAGCCCCATAGCGATTCTTCATTGGAATGATAGCTATCTATTATAAAATTACAAAATCTACTTAGTATCAGATAGAATACCTTTATCTAAATTAAACCACTTGTTAGGAATGTAGGCTATGCTTCAAAAATTAAGAACTGATTTTGTGCAGAAATTTAGAATGAGTAAATCATTCCCAAACCATTGGTTTCTGAAAGATGGATGAAACTATGCATTTGTTAATGTATGGCCAATGACACTGAGGCTACAATGAAGGCTTTATTGCATCATTAAGAAAGTGTACAGGGAAAGTACTATAATAACTAAGTTGATATAATTCTTAAACTAAAAATGTGTAATTATGTTTTAGAATATAAATTTACAATGCTATGTTTTTCTGCTATATTTTTTGTTTATTATTTACTAATAAAACTGTACTTCCAAGCTTCAACAATAATGTGAAATTTGTCACTGTTCCTATAATGTGAGTTTGCCATTCACTTCCTTTCCAAATTCTCCAACCTGTACAAAGTTTTTCAGTGAAATCGTGTTATTTCTTAAAGAAACCAATCCTAATAAAATATTTTTAAATTAAAAAATCTCGGGATTGGAGAAATGACTTAGTGGTTAAGAGCTGTGACTTTTCTTGCAGAGGACCTGAGTTCAATTCCTAGCACCAACATGGTGGCTAACAACTCCAGTTCCAGGGGAACTTGACACTCTCTTCTGACCTCCTCGGACATCACACAACATGGATGCACCTAACCTATATGCAGGCAATACATTCATACACATAAAAAAATGAAAATAAATGTTTTTTAAAAATTTTTAAATCTCTCATAAAAACAAAACAAAACAACAACAACAACAACAACAACAACAAAACCCCAGAACAAACAGAAGAGGAAGTATAAAGGGACTGGAGAGACAGCTCAGTGATTTAGAGTGCATACTGCTCCAGCCAACATAGGTTGGCTCACAACTACCTGTAGCTCCAGCTCCAGAGTATCTATCTAATGCCTCAGCCCTCCCAGTGCACCTGTACTTATGTGCACATATACACATATACACATGATTAACGTTTTATTTAAAAAATGTTTTTAAGAACTAGAGAGATGGCTCAGTGATTAAGAACACTGGCTGCTCTTGCAGAAGACTGGGATTTGGTTCCCAGCACCTACATGGTCATTAACAACACTCTGAAATGCTAGCTCCAGGGGATCAGAAGCCCTGTTCTGGCCTCCAGAGGCATTGCACACGTGGCATTTACATACAGTCAGGCAAAGGACTTATACACATAAGATAAAAATAATAGTTTTTAAGAGTGAGTTCAAGTTTGAAGGACATCCATTCCTCCAGATATCCCTCAGAACTGTGTCCTGGAACAGTGTGTCCTTGAGAAAAACATTATCAGATGATCTTTCCCTTTCATTCCTAGGTCTAAAACATCTTATACACACAGTATCAAGCAGTTCTCCTCAATCTTCGTTGCTTTCAAGTCTTATGGTTTGTAAATTTAAGTAACCATGAGCATAGTTAAGTAATAGAACCCAAAAGGAATTTGGAGTCTATTGCTTCAGGATTACAAAGGAATCAGGATTTAACACCAAGAGATTTGTTAAACACCATATCTCTGCATCCTTAACCCTGAGAATAATTTGAGTCTAATGACTTTTAAAAAGCATAGATAATAGGATAATGCAATGCTTTAAATACCCGTAAGTGTCCTTATTATGTATAGAATTTACCTGCAAATGGGAAGTTGTATAAAGTATTACTTGTTTTGTTCTGGGGAAATACAACTCAGTTATGTAGAATGTTTGCTTAGCATGTGCAGGATCCTTGGTTCATTTTCCAGCATCAACGAGGGAAAAAACTATGTGTGTGTGTGTTTCTTGTATAAAATAGAACTTGGCATAATTGTAAGAAGTAAGTAGATATCCTGAGTTCTGTACTTATTACACTGGGACATTCTTCTTTTTTTCAATTCTTTTTTATTTTTAACTTCCCAGACTGTGATTTTTATGTCTAGAAGTTCAATTAGGTGTTTTATATTTTCTGTAGGGCACGGGGGCTGTAGAAGAATGATGGAAAGTCTCTTGGTGCCTGGGAGTGAGAGAGGTCCAGCGTCAAGGCCCGGATGCCCAGGACCACGTGCGGAGCCTAGACCATAGCTGGCCATCGAGGGAGGTAAGAAGTCCATTTTTGAGAATCAATCCTCCCAAGACTAGAATCTGTGAATGACAGAAACCTTCCCTGTCCCCAGCATAAGCCCAGTGGCCCAACACAGAGGCAAAGCCACATCCATGTTGAGCAGCAATTTCAACCTTCTCTGGCTGCACCCCACACAAGAAATATTTTTAAAGTATAAAAACCAGCACAACTTTGCAGCCATGGGTTCCAATTTCAGGAAGTCTGTGTTCCTCTTTACTGGTATCTGGTGCATTCTCTCAGCTCCACACCTTGGGTTGGTCCTGTTTTCCCCAGGATGGATCCTGAAGCCGCCCGGCTGGAAAGGCAGCATGTGCACCAAGTGTATGAGACCACTGCCCCATACTTCAGCGACCTGCAGAGCAAAGCGTGGCCCCGTGTCCGCCAGTTCCTGCAGGACCAGAAGCCAGGCAGCCTCATCGCTGACATTGGTAACCTAGGCTTTTGTCACGTAGTGTGATACACATCCCATGGCACCTCTCCTTTTCATTCGTTTCTCATTTTTGTTCTAACAGGAAACCTGAAATTTGTGTTGGTAACGTGCCAGTCTCTGGAGTGTTCATGTTACAGCAGAAATTCTTATCATTAAGTCACCAAGAAGAGAACACCTTCAGACCTACATTCAGAGAGTAGTGATCCACTCTGAGCCTTTGTGCACTTCCTCCGTCAAAATCAGCCTGCCACAGATAGAATCAGTTAGTGCAGAAATGATGCAATACTGACTGTCTTAAATGTAGAGACCGCCACACATGTAATATGCGCTTTGTACTCCTGGCTCACTTTGAATGGTTCCTTCTATGACAGAGCCAGAGTTGTGGGACTATGGAAGAAGTCCTATTTCCTTCTTTAATCTGATGGCTTTTCCCCCTTATTTGTAGGCATCATATTTCCAGGCATATCTTCAATTAGAGAATATTTTCATAAGCACTGACTTATCTGGAGGACTTTAGCTTAGCATCTTTCTGAATTGAGAAGTGGTAAACCACAGCTTAGATTTAAGAGTAAGATTTAAAGTGCTTGAATTCCCACTTGGCATGCCTACCTAACTCTTCTTTCTAGCAATCACATGCTCTCTGTGCTCAGAAGAACCATGTGAGCAGTCCAGAGTTTTGGATGAGGAACATGTCACATTGAAATTGAGTCTGAAAAAGATCTCTAGCATGTCAGTTTTAAAAATAAATCTGGTTTCAGGGGTTGGAGATGTGGTTCATGGGTAGCATGCATCGTTTCCATGGTCAGAGCCCTATGTTTAAATCCCAGCACCACAAAAGGAGGAAAAAAGGTCTGATTTTAGAAGCTTCAGTGAGCTCAGAGTTATTACTTCCCAGTGTGTATGCGGGGTACCAGGACTTTAAAATAAATGAGGCAGGAAAGATAATGTTCACTAAGTAGCCTTGGGACAACAGCATATGTAATAAGAGGTACTTTCCTTATATCTTACACCAAAATAAGTTCCAAAATGAACCAAAGATTTAAGTGTAAGAGAATGAGTTATTGAAAGACAGTGAGATTATTTTAAAAAATATTCCTGAGCCAAAAGACCTCTCTCTGCCAAACACTGCCCTTCTCCCCACTTAAGAAAAGTTATAAAAGGAAATAGAATTGATTGACATTGCCATGGCCCTTGTGTTCTAAATGTGTTAAAAAATACCGAGTTGTTAAGAAAGAGTCTGTGTCCTGAGAGGACCTGTGAGAAAGGTTCCCATGTGTCTTTGATCATGCATTTTTGTCAGTTACCTTATTTCTTTGTCTTTCTGTTTAAGGACGTTTTATTCACGATATAGCTTTGATTCAGTAACATTGAACTCACAGGCACTGTAACTCATGCTTGAGCGAAAGATTGTCAACGTGTTCTGTCCACAGGGGACGCTGTGGCCGTTCAGGAACACTAGAGTGCTTTGAGGAGGGGGGCATTTTAAAAACAAAATCACCAATCAAAAACATAAAAATGCAAAAATTAATGCATGAAATAAATTTTTTAAAAGACTAATATACAGTGTTAACTGAGAGAAGATCCACCTAGTCAAGAACAGAGTATAATTGCGTTTATTTTGGATTTATTGGGATTGTAGCCTGGGAGACAGCCAATTCTGATAGCTGTGATACTGTGCTCCCAGGTTTTCTAAGGCAATGGATGCTATTGCTGAAACTGAGGCACTTGCTAATTATACCTGTGTTTGCCAGGGCTTGTTTACAAGAAAGGAACTAGGCATAGTCTTGGGGTCTGAGTGGTTTAGGGTGAAAGAACTAGGGTGAAAGGATGAGGTGTGGTTTTTATCAACATGCAAAACTGGTGGAGTTCATTCCATATAATTGCTGCTGGGGCCATTCATGAGGTCAGCATGAACTTGGGTGGGTGCCACACAGCTCAGGTCAAAAGTTCAGCTGTAAGGAGCCTGCCGCAGTTCAGCCAGGCCAGGAAACGCTTCTGAAGTGCCTGGAACCAGTGCTGGTCCACTTTGATTTTCTTCCCTGACTCAGGACCGGAGCTGAAACAAAGAACCCTGGGCTCCGGTCTCAGGCAGCTCAAAGCTGTTGCTACCTTATGAGTGTGCAAGTGAGGTGAGTGTTGACTTTAGGGTTACAAATAAAGCTCTGGATGGAATAGCAGATATTGAATCTGCCAATAGCAAGGAGAGACTGTATTGATAACTTTGAATCCATAAAAACGTCAAAGTTCTGTAAGATGAAAAGCTAGACTGGTGATTACCTGGAGTTGGAGCTGGGGTGGTGTGGGAAGATGAGGGGATGCTGAAATGTGAGTTAGAGGGAACCAAGTTTCAGTGAGAGAAGAGGAATAATCCAAAAGATAAAAAATGGCAAAAACCCCAGAGAAAAATAGTAAAAGAATATAAATATATAATTGCATAAAGTTTGGAATACATATGCTTAAAAATATTTTGGTAAGTAATCTGCACACACAGGTTTTTAGTTAGAAAGCTACAGAGGGTGAAAAGCTTTACTAGTACTAAGCCAACAAGTTGGACAAGAGGCACATCCACCCAGAACCAGGCCTCCTTGTTAGGGGTGGCTGGCATAAGGTTTTTTTTTTTTTTTTAATTTTACTTATTATTATTATTATTTAGTAAAATAAATTTACAGATATTTCATTACAACAGCATTGACATATTCAGTAACAATTTCCAGAGCTAAGATATATCTCTTTCAAAATTGACTGTAAATTTTTAGGTTCACAGTTGAATTAATACAGTTATACAATATTGAACTCTGTATAAAGCCCATAAGACATAAAATTGAATGAGGTTTTAACCTTTAAGAAACATCTGCATTTCATTTTAAAATATATTGTTTCATACAGAAAACAATATCATTTTTAATGCTACCAACACTTAGATGTTTGCATATGCATCTCTAATCTCTATGTACCTGAGTATTACTAGTCAGAGTCGGTTACTTTCTGAGATCCTTGGCACCTGAGCATGGATATAAGGTCATCAGGTAGATTTTAATGGTAGTATTTTTCACCTCTACTAATTAACATGAAGCAAATTTTTATGCTTCTTCCTCAAATACATTATTAAGGATCAAATTTTTATGCTTTGAAGAATTATTAATTTTTTAATTTTTTTAAATGTAATAACCTTATGATTAGAAGCATTTCATTACAGCTTTAACATATTCAGTAACACACTCCAGAGCAAGGATACATCTCTTTCAAAAGTGGCTATAAAATTTTTTGGTTCACTGTTGAATTAATACAGTTATACAATATTGAACACAGTATAAGCCCTGTAAGACATAAAATTGGATGAGTTTTTAACCTTTAAAAAAGATCGGTAGAGCATGAGACTCTTATTATTTTTATTATGTGTATTGCCTGCATGTAGGTAGATGCACCTGTGTTGCGCAATGCCCATGGAGGTCAGAAGAGGGTGTTGGATTCCCCTGGAACTGAAGTTATGGACAATTGTTAGCTGCCCTGTGGGTGCCGGGACTCGAACCTGGGTCCTCTGCAAGAGCAGCCAGTGCTCTTAACCACTGAGACATCTCTCCAGCCCCATAAGTTTTGAGGGGTCTATTTTTCTGATACATGGACTACTGGTATCCTTAGGACATTGAATATCCTGGGCTGTAAATCTAAATAAAAGCTTCTGATTAGGATAACATGACTCACCTTCTTTGTAGTGTCTTTCCCCAGGAATAGCTAATTTTGCAGCTAATTGTTAGAATAATAGAGACAAAGTACATGATGTACTTGAATGAAAATGTCATTATAAAATCCATCAGTTTCTACAATGACTATATTCTGATTAAAAATTAAAATCAAACTGTTTGGACACAAAAGGAATGTCTTCTCTGTCCCCCCCGTTCCCCTTCTCTCTCTCAAACAAGTAAGGAAAGAAAATGGCTGCACTTTTCCTAGGATGGGAAGAGTCAGAGAAAAGTTGCTTTCCCCTAACCTCCCTTGTTCTGTTTGAATGAGTGGGTTTATTAAGCATGTAACAAGCAAAAGTGAAAGAACAAATAGCAAGTAGCAGATAGCAAAATATCATCAAGTCAATTTACAGCATCCAGCAGAGACAACTGAAATAGCCTGATTAAGAGAGTAAACAAAGCTGGGTGCGGTGGTGCACACCTTTGATCCCAGTACTCAGGAGACAGACACAGGCGATCTCTGTGAGATAGAGATTAGCCTGGTCTATGTAGTGAGTTCCAGGCCAGCTGGGGCTACAGGGAGACCCTGTCTCAGAAATGCTCCCCCCAAAAAAAGAGAGGAAGTGAAAGTAACATCATCAGTCATCTAGGGAATTTGAGGCAGTCAACTGAGCTTTCTCTACATGGGTGAGCTTCTGGCTTCCTATTCCCACTGCAGAAACTTTTATATCATGGGATAAACAAAAGCAACCTCTGTTGGAAATAGTTTACCTTCTAGCTGTTCTCAAGGACACAGTGTTTTGAATTGTTGCTTGCTTTTTTTCACTCCCCATTACAGAGCAGGGGGACCAGCCTGTTTGGACAAGGGGCCTTAGAGGATGCTTTGACACAAACATGCTTGGGTCAACATGGTGTGTGTGGAGGCAGGGCGGGTGTGTCCCCGGGTGGGTGGGTCCCCCATTTCAGAGCCAGCATCTCAGTAACCTAAACAGCACATGAAAGCTTACCAATATAGCCTCTCCCCCAACCCAGGACAAGTGAAAGATAACATTTGCTGGAGAAAGAGTTTTTTTTTTTTTTTCTTTTCAACTTAAGTGGCTTCATCATAATTACCTCCATGAGAAATGTTTCTAGGTTTTCTGATTAACTGAGATCATCATTGTACTTTTTAATTTGCCTATTTATTAGAATAATAATTTATATTCTCTGGGAAGTTCTACTTTAGTGATGACACTTTTAAATAACTAAAATGATATTAACCATATTACCTCATTCCCCAGGCAAGATGATTTGCTGGGACAGGTGATAAGGACTCCTTGATGAATACCAAGGTTGAGACAAGATCAACCTACACTGTCTTGAAACTGTCCATCCCCCAGCCTCAGTCTCTGGAATGCTGAGATTACAGGTGTCTTCCATCTGGAAGTATGAAGGAAAGGGCTTAAGGAAGGGAAAAAGAAGAATAGCATATACACTCACAGCAATGGTGACAGCATGCACAAAACCCATACAAACTGAAACCAGACAAAAACCCAGCACAGAACCTGGGGATGGGCAGCAGGCCCCAACCTTAACTGAGGAACTGTTGGCAGCTGATCACTGCTGGGTGAGGGAGAGTTGATCGTCTCTAACAGGGTGATATTAGATAGGCTGACCATGTTCCAGTGGATGAACTTACACTGAGAGACACCTGGGAACACAAGCTTATCTTGATAGGCTGTAAATATTACAGAATATATGAAACCCAGGGTGGGGAGGTACAGATGAAGAAGAGCGTCCAAGTATGATCAAGATGCATTGTATAAACTGCACAAAAATTCAATAAAAAATAGTATAAAAATAAAATAAAAGGCTACTATGATTCAGACTGCAGAAACACCAGGACATGCCCAGGAAACACTGCCCTGAAGCCATGGCAGGACCTCGAATATACCAGTCCATTCTATGTCTGATGCACAGACTGACTGTGGAGGACATTGTGTAGATTGAAGTCTTTACCTGGATCTGTTTATATAGTAAGGAAAAAACCAGAGCCGGATTCTTTTTCAACCAGAAACCACTTCTCTAATCACATTGAAAACAGTATTTTTGTGCAAATAAAGCAAGTAGCTCTTTATTGATTAAGACCCCTTTGGCCTGTTAGCTATCGGTGTGTTCTCATTTTCTGTGGTCATAGTTTTTTTAGGTGAAATTTTAGTAAAGAATTCCTAATTTTCCAGGCATGGTAGCACACACCTTGAATCCCAGCACATGTTGGAGGCAGAGGCAGGCAGGCAGATCTCTGTGAAATCATGGCTAGCCTGGTCTACATAGTGAGTTCCAAGTTAGTTGGGATTATAGAAAGACCCTCTCTCAAACAAAACAAAACAAAACAAAAAAGACACTGAGCATGTCTTTTAAAAATAGTATAAAAATAAAATAAAAAGAGCTACCATGATTGACACAGCAGAAACACCAGGGCAGGACCAAGTATGTACCTTTAACCCCAGCCCTCAGGAGGCAGAGGCATAGGCAGGCAGATCTCTTTGAGATTGAGGCCAGCCTTGTCCACATAGTCGCTTCCCAGTGGACTGGGACTAGGGAGACCCTGTCAAAGACAACAACAACATCACCCCTAAAAAGACCAAAAAAAAAAAAAGCAGAAAAAGAGACATTCCTAATTTTTAAAATATAGTTGTTTTTAATTTGGGAGGTAGATAAGTGGTGGAGTGCTTGCCTAACATGTATGAGGCCCTGGGTTCAGCCCCTAGTACCAAGGAAAAGAAAATGTAGTTGTCTCTACACCTTTAGAGAGGATGTTCATATTAGTTATTTTCAGCAAATATTTGCCCCTGTGGTCAGAGACAATACACCTTGGGGCACAGAGTACAGAAGCAAGGAGACTGAGCATGGGTGCTCCCCAGCATCTCCAGTACCTCACACATTATCAGTTAATGAGATTTTGCAGGGGCGCATGACTGTCATGGATTGGAGCTTGCCACAGGATGATTAAAGTTTGGGCTACATCTAAGATGATGGGAAGACTTGGCTTAGTGATAAACTTGATTTCCTCATTAGGATAAAATCTTCCCTTTACCAGTGTCTCGGGGTATGCACTTAGAAAATAGATAATTGGGGCTGGAGAGATGGCTCAGCGGTTAAGAACACTGACTGTTCTTGCAGAAGACCCGGGTTTGAATCCCAGCACCCATATGGCAGCTAACAACCATCCATAAATCCAGTTCCAGGGGATTCGATGCCCTCTTCTGTCCTCCACATGGGTGATATCTGACAGCCTCTTCTGTCCTCCATGGGCACTGCATGACACGGGTGCACTTAACCTACATGCAGGCAATACACATATACACATAAAATAAAAATAATAAATAAAATATTTGAAATAAAAGAAAATAGATAATTGTATCATGTTTGGAAGCTCCCTTTAAAATGAATGCCATTAGAAATGAAGGTGGGATTAAATCAAGGGTGCCAGGGCACTGGACACATGACTGTTTAAACCTCAGTTTCTTACTGCAAAATGCTTTCTGACTAGTTCCCTCTGTTTGGTTTATGAACATGTTTTAAACAGAATCTTTGAAGAGACTTTTCCCCTTCATTTCTCCAAATGCATCTCTCCAGCCAATAAAAAAGTAGAATTGATTTGCAAGGTATTTCTCAAATGGGGCTATAATCTTCGAAACACACAGAAAGAATTTCAGTTTTGAAATTCAGTGTGAATTATAGTTTCTCTATAACTATCCTCAAATAACATACTTTTATCATAAGCATTAGGAATAGTGGCTGTGAGATCTAAACTGTTTACAAAACCTCAATCATTTATATTGAAATAATATTTGAAATTGTATTTTTATTCCTGTCCCTTTCACTGTAACAACTGGCACCAATCAACCTTCATTTTTTTAATGCCTCATCATTTTGAAAACAACCTATTAAAGAGAAGTTTTTAAAGACTATCTTACTGTATTTCAAAGGCAGAAAACTTTGTCTTTGGATACTGATAGATATTTTTGTCAGAAAAATCTGTAAGTATGTAAGGCCAATAGGTACAAACATCTGCTCTAATGATTTCTTCAAACACCTCTGGAAAGCAATTAGATTATATAACTGAGATTGAATATCAGACTAGGAGCCAGTGTATGTGCGTAGAGGTCCAACTGCTTGGAAGGCTAAAACGAGAGGACTACTTGAGTCCAGGAGTTTCGCCTGGGCAACATAGTGAGACCCAGTCTCAAAAAAGAATGTAAATACCAGGTACTAGTTGCATACATGTTTCAAGATGGGTAGCCATGCATGTTACTCTATCTCATAATATGGGCAAGATTCGACTGACCTGAATCTTTGGACTATGTATTTGGGTCTCCACCACTAGAAAATGAATTTTAACAGTGGTCTGTTTTTTTAAGGTTCTTTTTAAAACTGTAGACTGAGTCAATAGATACTTCACAAACTAACACTGTCATGAAAATATGTTGGTTTTTCGGGCATATTCAGATTTATAAAACCATTTTTATATCGATTATTCAATTTCTAGCCATTGAAAAGTTGCTGCCAGTAATTTGTTTAACACAGTCAGCAACTGGCAAGGCCCCTTGAGGAGGACAAATGACACAGCATAAACATGTATGACATGAAATACATGTGTCAAGGTAAAGTTACTGACTGAACACTCTCTGCCCCCAGCTCCAGGATGTCAGAAGTACTTTTCACAGGGATGGGCCATGATTGTGTTACTGATGTGCATAGCCCTGTGGGTGGTCCCTCAGTACACATTCAATACATACTGTTTCTTTTTCCCACTCTAGCTCTCTTCTATATGAAAGTATGTAAGCATTCTCTTTTGCTTTAGCTAAAGATACCTTCCACACTTATGTGCTATCTTAGTTATTTAATATAAGATTCATTTACCTGTTATAAGACAAATTGATTTGCATTTTCCAGTAAGGACAACATGTAACACAGGTTTTTCTCTTATAGGTTGTGGAACTGGAAAGTATCTTAAAGTGAACAGCCAAGTGCATTCCCTGGGCTGTGACTACTGTGGGCCTTTGGTAGAGATTGCCCGGAATAGAGGGTGTGAAGTCATGGTATGTGACAACCTTAATCTCCCCTTTAGGGACCAGGGCTTCGATGCTATCATCTCCATAGGAGGTAAGGCAGCCAGCCCACACGATCACACCTTGCCATGAGAATAGCTTACATGGTTCAAGCCACTGTCATGACTCAACATCCATTCTGTGCAGAGGTCTATGCAATTCATTTTATTTAATTTTAAAAGTATAATATTCCAACTGATTGAGTTACTTGACTCATCTCTAATGCATTTATATTATTTTGTTTTAGCTATTTAAAACCTGCAGACTGCTATTGTATTCTTTTTGATGATTTATTCCCAGATCTTTTACTTATAGACAAAGAAAGTATTAGGAATCTTACTTGTTGAAAATAGCATTTTGTTACATTGACATGAAGCCAAATTCTTTTCTATTCTTGAAGTAGATTTTTTTAGGTGTCATGTGACCTTTCTTGGACCACAATAGTACCCATTATTAGCAGAAACTTCTAGAGGTATCATACTGAACATCACCTGGACAAATGTGCATCTTGCTGTTTCTGGAAGACAGGCCCACCCTTATTGTTTTTATCATGCCAGTCTGTTCTTAAATCCAGAAAATGCTGTGTCTAGGGTGATTTTTTTTCCTCATTTTCCCCAAAAGCGTGCCCAGTAAACACAATGCCAAAATAAAACAATAACAAGAAACTCCATGCCTGAAACACACATACATGTATGAGCCTCATTTCACCCAATACGTGTACTCTTAACCCCTAATTTATTATGCTTAAATGTGTTAAGAAACTGTATTTAAAGGAATCCTGTGATAAGTTGTTTAATAATAATAAAAAATTTGTGCAAAGCAAATTACTTGATTTATGCATCTTAAAAGCTAGCCTTTTTATATAACAAACTTTATCAAAGCAAGGTGTCTTATGGAAGCTCACTACCATTCATGATAAAAATACAGAAAAATATTGTTTACACTTTCCTGTAGATAAGAGATGGCAGACCTTCCTGAGATGGGAACTATATCTTTGCTTAGTGAAAGGATACAGGCCTACATGTCATAATCTTGGAAATAGTTAGGACCAGTTAAGAGATGGTTATCATGGGAACCTGCCCTTATGCTACCTTCCTTCTCTGCACTTGAAACTATTAGGTCAGTTTAGCCATAAACATTAGTCTGCCCAGGCTGTTATTACAAAATATCGCACATGCTGTGTATTAAACAATAGACTTCTATTTCCTCTATCAGTGTGTCAGCAAAGCCGTGTTCTTATGAAGGCTTTCCTGGTTTGTAGATGGTGGCTGCCACTGTCCTTTTGCTCAGTTCTCACACGGCGTAGGAAGATGGTGAAGAGGAAGCTCTCTGGTCTTTCCACGACACTAATCTGATCATGGGACCCATGTGCATGACCTCATCAGAGACTGACTCCCCAAAACTCCCACCTTCATACCATGGGATAGGAGCTCAGACATAAAACTCCACTGAAGGGACATAAACGTGACAAAAGATTCTTTTTTACCTAACAAATGTGCAGTGCTTTGATCTTCAAGTGGAAAAGCTTTTGATTTGGCCATTCTTCCTAAAGAACTGGAAAACAAAGAGAGTTCAGAAAAGCGAACAAATCTTTGCTCTCTTCTTGTTTACATTAGTTTTAGGGTGTACATGGCTATCTAGGTCAGTATACCACTGAGCTACTCTGGGGAAAAAGAGTATGGAGCAACTTTGTTGCTTTGGGAAAATGCTCCCAGTGTTCCTGGTTGAGTCCTCTTTTGTTCTCATCTTAAATCTCATTATGCCTTCCCCTCAAAAAAAAAAAAAATCGAGCATAATTATTGAGTAAGTGAAGGCTATGATGGTGGAATGAGTTAGTTATCAGAGAAATGAAATCCAAAGTTTAAAAAAAAAGTGTTACATAACTTTCCCGAAGAACGTGTGAACTGCAGATAGGGCATTGTTACCAACCAAAGAAACGATTCCTCCTAAATCTAGGTTGGTGAGCCAGGGAGTTTAGTGGGATTACTTAACAGGAATATGGAGGAAGAGTTACTTAGAGGAAGTTGGGTGCCAACTCATCAAAGGCAGCTCACCGCTGAAGGCACGGAAGCTGTGCAGCTTGTGGGCAGCTCCATGGAGGGGTCCCCTTCCTCTCAGCATTTGCTTGTTATTCATAAAGCCTCAGGGAGGGGCTCATAAGCCCCTTTTTTGTGAGCCTCCCGCCTTCCCCAGAGACCCAGGGGTAACATCTAAACAATGAGCTGTGGACTTTTTTCTTTGCCTCATTCATTTGCTCTTCTTTGCCATGTGTGGCCTGTGTCATAGGAGGATGAAGCCAGAAGGTGCTCACCGGTGCTGATCCCTCAAGTTTAGCCTTCCTAAACTCTGAAATCATAAGCCAAATACATTTCTATTGTTTATAATTAACCCAGTCTCTGGCATTCAAAGCATCAAAAATGTACAAACATACCTGGTTTCTATCCTTTCACTAAAACTGCTCCCTTGGCAAACATGGAGGCCTGTGCCTATAGTGCCAGCACTCCGCAGGCTGAGGCAGGAGTTCTTCTTCAGTTACATTTCACATTTAGAATAAATTATGAGAAATTTCAAAACTCTTACATTCATATATATTTATTGTCTGATTTAGAATTTTGTGTCTTGGCACTTCTTGGCTTGACAAGAAGACACATTTTCTCTTTTTTTTTTTTTTTTTTTTTTTTTTTTTTTGGGGTGTCTTTTAATCATAGTGATAACTGTCATATCTTAAATGATATACATTATGTTTCACTGATAGACCACAAAAAGAACACCTCTGCCTGTAAAGCAGTCTGGCAAACATTCTAGGAGAATTTGGCAAGGTGAAATGGTATAAACTGACAATCTACTTTATGGCAGAGGTTCTCAAGTTGGGCTGTACTGGTCCTAATCCCCATCTCCCTAATCATAGTGATAACTGTCATATCTTAAATGATATACATTATGTTTCACTGATAGACCACAAAAAGAACACCTCTGCCTGTAAAGCAGTCTGGCAAACATTCTAGGAGAATTTGGCAAGGTGAAATGGTATAAACTGACAATCTACTTTATGGCAGAGGTTCTCAAGTTGGGCTGTACTGGTCCTAATCCCCATCTCCCAAAGATCATTGAGCAGTATCTGAAGACATTTGGGGACATCACAAATGGACAAGTGTACATATGCCACTGTCATTTGGTGGGTAGCACTAATGTAGGTTTAAAAACCTGCTTGCTGCTAAACCCAGAAGCTCACTGTGCTTAGAAAGATGGATCCTATATACCCGAAAAGTGAAATAGCAGTCAGTCACAAAATGTAAAGATCTGGCAGGACTTTAAAGAAAATCTTCTGTCACTTTCCATTTGATTCCTGAATCCAAAAGTTGGATTCAACTTAACAATTTTCTAGCCTCTCTGCAGAAAAATTGTTTTAAGATACATATATACAGTACCTTATTTTTTGAGTCAGTATCTACCTGTAACCCCAGCTGGCCTTGAATTTCCTATTGTAGACTGAGCAGCCTCAATCTCACAGAGATCCTCCTGAGTATTGGGATTAAAGGCATGCACCACCATGCTGGCCGTAGAGTACTATTTTTGCCTTTAAGTTGTGATTATGATTCATAAACAAAAATACTATTTTAACCTTTAAAATTTCAACATTGCTCAGCATTAACATTTTCAATACAGTCCACTGTAGTTAGACTTACAGTACATTTTAATAGAACATGCATGCGCATATGTAACACATTTTCCGTGTGTTGAGGAAATCTTCCTTTGTAAGCTTCCTTTTCCTCTGAGCCATTTGGCTTGAGGCTGGAGACACTGCTCTGCAGTTAAGAGCATGTGCTGCTCTTGCAGAGGACCCGGGGTTGGTGCCCAGTACCCATTTTTGGTGGCTTACACTCTTTGCAACTCCAGCTCCAGGGGATCCAATACCCTATTCTGGCTTCCACAGGTACCTGCACACATGTGGCATTCACTCACAGAGACACAGACATATGCACAAAATAGAAACAGAAAAATGTTTGACTTAAAGGCTGTTGCTTTTTACCTGTTAAATATAAATTTAAAGCATATTATAAAATAGCCACATTTTTCTGTGAAACTACAATTAGAAGTGAACTTTTATTCGTCAATAAATGGACAAAAGCTTGCTTTCTTACATAATACTACATTTTTGGAAATCCAGTAGAATGGGAAATGTTGGAAGTCCTATCATTCTATTAAAAAGAGGTATTTATTACATGAAAATAGTCCTGTTTTAATGTTTATTCCTTTTCGCTTTCCAGAATAAATGCACTGAGTTATCATGATCCACAGAAGCTGTGTTCTATGAAGCTTCTGTGATCAGTGAATTAGTTCATTCAGTGGTATATGGGATCCCAGGGGAACTCAGAATCTGGTTCCTGTAAACCATTGGTCATAATATTTTCTTCAATTGATCAATACATAACTTTATGTGTTTCTATTAAAGACACTTTATTTAATTTTAAACTCATTCTAGCAACCCTGTTGCTGAATGAAGCTTGTGTATCTTGTGTGTTTTCTACATAAGGCCAACCACAGCCTTCCGTGTTAGAATACAAGAGATCAGGTCAACACAAGGCTTGGGGACTATCACCAACAAAACACAAACATGCAAAAACCAGGGCTCTGAATAGGCATGAAAAGAACCTGTTTCCAGCATCAGAGCTGGAATAAAAAGGGAGAGATGTTTTGTTTCACTTTATCTGTGGACATGGCCTTGGAAAGCTCAGGCTGTCTTTCCATACAGACAGGAGAATGACCATGATGGTGTTAATTCAGGGGATTTACTAATGAATTTTAACAAGTGGGGAAATTTGCAAATACAGAATAATAACAAGAATAATTGTGTTTAGAAAATGCACACAGAATTTCTATATTGCCAAACATGGTAATCTCAACATTCAGGAAGCTGAGGCAGGAGGATCATGAATTTCAGGCTTCCACATACAATACCGTCTCAAAAAATTAAAGAAAAAAAGACTCTAGAATGATGTAGATGCACATGGGAGGTATTAACAGCCTTGAGCAGCACTGGGTAGATTCGGACATCAGCACTGTGTTGGTTCTTTCTTAGTCCTGACCTTATGCTTCCTACAGTTAACAATAGATATGCAGGCTTTCAAGGGAAGCATTGTAAAAGGCTACTCTCCGAGCTGAGGGGAGCAGACTACGGCCCAATAAGATAAGAATGATTGCTCAAAGATCACTGATAGATCTAGGGCAAAATTGTGCTGGAAGTGAATTCTTCAACCACAAGTTTCTCACTCTGCCTAGTAGATTGCAGACAGGGGGGCCATGGAGGCACACTGTCAAGAGGAAGGAAAGCCTAGTGTCTGATGATGCAAAATGTGCTGTCTGCTGAACAACCTTCCTATGACAGCTCTATACCAGAATTTCATTTTAGATGTTAAATAGATCTCCGAGGCAGGTAAACTGCAGAGTAATTAGCTTAAAATCATTACTCACAGCCTAATGATGGTGAGCACTTACAGGATTGTTTCAGTTGTTCTCTACCCTCACTGCGCACATGAGAGAGTCTTGAAACTTTGTTTGGAACCAGTTTTCTCCCTGGGATATGCAGTGGGCTTGTGTTTTGAAACTAAGAACGTTTTTCTCTTCACACAGTACTGTGGCCCTCCAGGAACTGATAGACTAGCACTTTCTATATATGGTCGAATGACAATTACCAAATAAGATGGGGGATATAATTCAGTGGTGGCGTGCCTACCTGGCATGCTCAGTGCCCTTGGTTACATGCCTTATATGTTACCATCACCACCATGATCATCATCATAATTAATATGCATACGATAACACATGCAAGGAGATAAAGGGTGGAGTCTATTTAGAAAATGCTAGAATCTCACTTTGACTTTGCAGGAATTAAAAATAAAATGATGGCTTATAAATTGATTTTTTTAATTTTAATTTTTTAATTTTTTTAATTTTGGGGGTCTTTTTGAGACAGGGTCTCCCTGTAGCTCTAGCTGGCCTGGAATTCACTATGTAGATCAGACTGGCCTTGAACTCACAGAGATCTGACTTCCTCTGCCTCCCAGCTGCTAGAATTAAAGGTATACACCACCATGCCTGGACTGCAAATTGATTTTTTAAAACACACATATAAGAAGTGATAAGCAATAATTTTGACTTGTGTTTGACTGACCTATCCTTGCATTATCTTACCAGAAAACATTTTAACATTTTTCTCTGTCTTGTTTGTTTTATTAATTTTACTGGCACTAATAACTCATGGTCTTATCCTTGTTTCCTTGGAAATATTACTCAAGAAAACAATGGTTTATTTCATAGACTACCAGCAAACATTTACCTCACTTAGTGTGTGTTAAGCTATAGTAATTCGCACCTGTCCTTTGTCCTCTTAATGAAATTCACAGGATTTGGGCTGGAAGAGACCTTGAATGTTATTTCTAGGTTTCTTACTGTAGTTGAAGAAACTTCAACTCTATCGAACTTGCAGAAGAACAGCTGTCTGATAAGTACAGGAATTGAAGCCAAAAATTATGTCCCTGAAATCCGTTTACCCCACCATGTAGGAAATAAGGTTTACTATATGTTAAAACTTAATCGTTTCTGTATGGAAACACTAGCTTAACAGTGTGTGTTTATGTGTATGTATACACATTGAGATGTCTTTTTTTTCCCCCAGTCATACATCATTTTTCTACAAAACAAAGAAGAATCAGAGCAATAAAAGAAATGGCCAGGGTTTTGGTTCCTGGAGGTCAGATGATGATTTATGTTTGGGCAATGGAACAGAAGAACAGACACTTTGAGAAGCAGGACGTGCTGGTTCCGTGGAACAGGGCTTTGTGCGGCCGGTTGCCCTCGGAGTCCAGCCAGTCTGGGAAGCAGGCTCCGCACTGGCATCCCGCAAGCTCAGAGCGCAGCTGTGCTGGGTGTTTCAGGGAAAGATGCACGTCCAAGCGGTCCCACAGCGTGGACGGCGGGCCGGCCGTGCCTGCAGCCTGTTGCGGCAATATTTCAAAGCAAGGAAGCGAAGAGAATGGATTCTATAACAATTTAGGAAAATCCTTTCGGTCTTGGTTTTTCTCACGCTCTTTGGATGAATCAACGCTGAGGAAGCAACTTGAAAGAGTGAGGCCCTCAATCCAGGACGGTTGGGCCACTAGCACTGTGTCCCGCCAGCCCTCCAGACACCCCAGCTTAGACTTCGATCCCCAAGATCAGTTTCCAGCAAAAGAATCGAACTTAGATGAAGAAGTGTTCATGGATACATCATCTCAAAGACACCTGAACTGGCCAGGAGCACCCATCACTTCAAAGAACGTAAATGGAGACCAGGGAGGCGAGAGTGGGAGGAGCCAGGCGCAGAACTTTCCCGAGGGCGCTATCTCCAGGGGCCCCTGTGTGGATGCAGGTAACTTAGGTGATCCTTCCGCCGGAAAAACCCCAAGGGTTTCCGCATTGGGGTCCACCGATTCCAACCCAGAAGACGCGGTGTCTGCGGAACACCGGGCAGACCCTGTGGACCCGGTGGACCCTAGGGCCTTCATGCGTTACTACCACGTGTTTCGGGAAGGCGAGCTCTGCAGCCTGCTGAGCGAGAGCGTGTCGGAGATGCGTATCCTGAGTGCTTGGAATGACCACGGCAACTGGTGCGTCATTGCAGAGAAAAAGCAGAGCTGGGATTGACTGGATCCTTCCAGGATCTTCAGGAGATTGACACCTGTTCCCCTCCGGCTGATACTGAACTGTCATCCAGTTCCATTATTTTCACATTCAGGTACACATTGGTCTGTACAGAGGATGAATTGATCCTCTTCATCTTCACATAAGCACAAAGCCTGGCGCTTGCTGTATTTGACACAGGATACTTGTGCTTACATGTCAGTACAAAGATTCCGAAGAAGCAATACTTTAGTGCAGTTCTGGTTGTATTCCTCCCAGATGGAATTATCACAATATACGTGTATTAATTTTCAGTATTATCTTTTTATTTTAAAAGTCTGCTGTTAATATACCTTTAAAAGGCAGTATTTGGGGGGCTGGAGAGATGTCTCAACAGTTAGAGCCCTGGCTGCTCTTGCAGAAGAACTGGATTCAGTTCCCAGCACCCACATGGTGGCTAATAAGCTTCAGAACCAGTCCAGGAAGCAGTCTCCCTCTTCTGACCTCTGTGGGCATTGCATGGAGGGACACACTTACATACATGTAGGCCAAGCACTCATACACATAAGATTAAATAAATAAATAATTTTAGAGGAAGTATTTTTATGAAGGGGACAATTCTGGTTCTCAGGTATTTAGATCCATGTGTAAGATAACAAGCCTGTTCTGGTGCTGGCTGTACAGGACATGGAAACCTGTAAGGGAGTATTTTACTTCTAACGTCTTCAGAAGTGAACTACAGTGAAGAGACTCAGGAAGTATTACAGGACTTTCCTAAATTACAATCAAACTTGTTTTAGGATAAACCCTGTAAATTGTTTTCAGTGCTTCTCAGAAGGTTTTTAAAGAAACTGTTAGCAGAGTGTATAGCTCAGTGGCAAAGCAGGCCACTAGCATCCACCTGGACTAAGGTTGGATCCACAGCACTACAGATAAGATAAATGTCTGGACACTTATTGAAGGTAACCATATTATATTGATTATATAGGTGATCTGAACAGAATAAACTCCTGTTACTTACAGGTTGAATTTCTGGTACTTTCTAGAACAATGATTAGACTGGGCATTGTATAATTACTATCTGTTTGGATCTTACCATGGATATGTTTAATTCTGTCGTGTCTCCCAAGGTACAATCAAGACAACTTAGAAGTAGAAATAAGCTGGTTGAGATCATTGTCCCAGATAGTTCCTTAATGAGTAGAAAATCAAATACCCTGTATGCTTTCTGAACATTTATAATCCTTGTTGAAAATTCAATCTTGGTTTTATTTTTTTCACTACAAAATTAATGAAAATTGTAATAGACACTATTTATTTGGGTTCTGACCCCTTGGGTGATTTTGGTATACATTAAAAGAAGGCTGCTACTGTCAAAGAAAGTTCAAAGGCGATTTTAAAACTGTATTAGAAAATTATTGATATTCTTCACCCCAAAATCACATTGCCCCGCCCCTGTTGTGGTAGATGAGTGGTAGTGCCACAGAGGATTGACATGTTCAATGTGCACTGTCACAAGGAACCATGAAAACAAACATAGAAGTTGACTATAAATTAAACTTTCAGTTTGCCTTTCATTTTTCAAATTATGATATTAAAACCATGTGTCCAAAAAGCTCCCCAGAAGAAAGGATGACCGATCTAGCAGGCATGACCTTTTCACTGTGGGCTTTCCCTCTCTGAGGTCTGTGGTCACTGTTTTCATTTTGGCCTTACTGTTAGAAATCTGAGCTTGAAGTCACCTCTCCCTGGTTGTAACCTACTAGTTAAGGGTCAGAACCCAGTTCATTAGTCTCTGTCAGAATGTCTTTTGAGATGATGTGTCTGAGCAACTTCACAAAACAAACATACGCCCCACTTTGTATAAAAGAACCTCCAGAATGGTTATTGGGAGAGAGATTTCCAGACAATGTTGACAGAGCTGTGCCTGCTAACAGTAGCAATCTCTTGCTCTTTGTCTGTAGAGCACAAGAGTTCTATGCGTCTAGACATCACATTGTATTTACAGCAAAACATTTAACCTGTGGTTGGTAACCTCTCTTAGGGATAGCTTTGGGAAAAGGACTCTTGCAATTTGGCTTTTGCCTTTTGGTGATAAAAGCCATTGAATAGCCATACTAATGTAAATATCTTGATAATTTGAATGCTTACTCATCTTTGGGATTGTCCTCAGAAGGAAGTGCAGTTTATGAGTACAAATGCAGAAAATCTGTATTCCATCTGCCTCAACTGGCTTCTTTATAGATTCTACTGATCTGACTGAAGTAATCAGAAAACTTTCTCCATTTGTAATAATAGACCAAATGATGTTTTTCTAGTTCCTTCCTCCCTTTCTGGAATCAGCACAGAGTCTCCCCTATCTGACCTGGAGGGGAGGTTCTGAAGGTTGTTAGAGTCCTTGAAAGTCTTTGCTGACAGCATTACTATTGCCTCCATGACTTTTGTGAGGAATTGCATGTAAAAAACCAGATGATTTGAAGAAAAGTAATAGACATAAACAAAAGATGCAATCAAAACAATATTTTACTGGGAGTCATGTGGTTGATCAGCTTATCTGAATATTTTCTAAATAATTTTTTTGCGTGTGGACAGAGTGATGAAATAATCAGCAAGCTTCAGTAACTTCACACTGGCTGGGCACACCTTGGGTTGGCACGTGGGCCCTCCCCATACCACGGATTCTTATTTCTAGTTTGCTCTTCTCCTCCATTCTGATTCTAGATGCCAAGGACTCCTCTGTGTTTAACTGGCCTTCATTTGAGTAGGCAAAAATTGAAGGCTATCCAGACAGGAAATAAACCAAATATAAACCAGGAACCTGGGTATACTTGTGTGCTAATGAGTACTGGTGGGTTTTTCAAATATATGGGTTCACGGGAGAACAGAAAATCTAACTCCAGTTGAACTTGGCAGAGGGAATGACTTACCTATGAGCTACAAACATCCAGTTGGGGGAGAGAAGGAAACTGGACCAGCTGCTGGCTCTGCAACTGCAGACAGTGGGAAACGAAGTAGTGAGTGCACGCCTCAGCTTTCCTGTTGCACAGAGGATGGAAAATAATAAGAGAAGAAGGGAACTTTTGCTTACTTGCCAGCATTTGTTATTTTTTGTAATCCTCTTCACAGCTCTGTCAGATAAATGTATGTGTGCTATCCCATTTTGCAGATAGGAAAAACTAAGGCAGCAAAAAGATTAACTAAATTACCAGGGATCATACAGGAAGTAAGTTTCACAAGGCAGAGCTGAAATTCATTTCCAGGGAGCCTGACTCCAGCCTGAGTCTGTAACCAGAGTTCCCCACATGCCCACCTGCTGGGTCCCCACCACAGTGCTAAACAGACTATAGAAGTGTCTGAGGTTAAGTGTGGCTGTCCCCTTTGCTAAGGAATTGACTGAGCCTTCCCATTGTTTCTTTTTAATTTTTTTACATTTATTTATTGGTTTATTTATTTGTGTGTGTATGCGTGTGTGTGTGCATGTGTATACATGTGTGTAGGTGTGCATGTGGAGGTCAGAGGACAACTTGCTGGAGTCAGTTCTCTCCTGTACCATGTGGGTTCCAAGGACTGACCTCAGGTCTTCATGGTTGGCAGCAGTCCCCTTTGTCCCCTAAGCCATCTCCTCAATCTTCTGTTTCTGGTTTTTGTTTGTTTGCTCATTTGTTTGTCTTTGTATATATCTCAATTTGACTTGAATAAAAAATAGTTCTTGGTTACAAAATACTCTATGATCACCGTTTTCCAACTCTTTGGTTCTTTAAAAAACATATGACTGTTTCCCTTTGTTATAAGTGAAGAACTTGAGGGCTAACCCAGGAATCTCATTTACTTCATTTACTCATAGAATTATGCCGTGTGCTAGATACATAAGATGAAAGACTGAGACATATCTGGGTTCTTGAGTTGTATATAACATTAGAATTAAAAGTGCCATGCTGAAACATTCTCTCTCTCTCTCTCTCTCTCTATCTCTCTCTCTCTCTCTCTCCTGAAACTCACCAAATAGGCTAGGATAGCTGGCCAGTGAACCCTAGTGATTTATCAGTTCCCCCTTCCAACACATCTCACCATGGCTGACTTTTTTATGTATGTTCTTATATATAGTCACATTGCATTATTTAGTTTTGTAAAAACCAATATTCAAAATGCCCTTGGAGAAGATCCCAGTGCCTAGCATAGGTAAGACCTATCTTAAGCAAGATTAGATTTAATTTAACTGAACTTACCCCAGGCAGATTGACACCCTCCAGTACAAGTGCTCTGTAAATATACTGAGGAAAGAGTGTGTCCTTGGGAGGTATGCAGGCCCCTAGTACAGCAACTCAAGCTGTTTTTCAGCCTCATTTCCTACAGTCGCACCTGTTTTCTGTTCTGCAGTCCGCTATTTTAAACAGTGATTTCATTTAAATTACATAACAAGTAATTACCCCATCCCTTGAAGGGATTCAATATATTCAGAAATTCTGTAATTATAAGCCATCCTCAAAGACAGATGCATAAAACAGGCTCATTCCATCAAGGGCATAGGAGAGAAATGTTAATACTCATCTGGCAGATGACAGACCACAGGAGTGCAAGGCGATCCGAGGCCTCACTGAAGCCGGACAAGACTGTGCAAGTCCTCTGGTCCCAGCCTTAGCTCAAATCAGATTACTGTTTTAATAATAGAAACTCCAAAACTAAAGTATGTACTTAAAAGGAATGCTGAAATTATTATAACACAAACAGTATTCTGCACAACAGAACAGAACAAAGAAATAATCAAATGAAAAATATGGGCTGTGAACTGTACTTTTTTTTTTTTAGTGAGCCCATATAGGCTAGACTGGCCTCAAACTTGCTATGTAGTTGAGGATGACCTTGAACTTCTGATCTTCCTGCCTCTAGCTATGAGTGCTAGGATTACAGGTTTCTGTGGGAGCAAATCCAGGACCTCATACGTACTAGGCAAGCACTCTACCAACTAAACTGCATCCCTAGCTCCAAGCTGTATAATTTGTTTGCCATGAGACCTACTGTATGTAGCATATTAGTAGAAGGGTAAGACATAAGTCTGTGTCCACCCAGGAGGAAGATGAGAGGAAGGAGAGGCATGTTTCTTATGAGCTAATCATAACACTTCCTCTTAGATGTTCCATCAATGTATAGTAAAGTTTCAAAATTATACTGTTTGTTTATCTGAACACTGGTAATATTTAAGACCCACATAAGGGGAATATCTGAGACACTCTGAATAGGTATATGAACAAGTCCTGTTTAGATGCTCTCTAAATATGTATGTATGTAAATATATATACATATACATAATTCTAGACCTCTAGTGTTTGTTGTCATTACTGATCAAGAAAAAGCAGTTGCCTTGTGCACTTAGGAAAAACATTAAATTATCAATTACTGTTGAAATGCATTTCACTGAATTGACTTCTTTTGTTTTAGGACATTTAAGAGGAATCTAGATGTTTTTGTTCCTTCCCTGGTGTGTTGACATGTGTATTTGTGTCAAGAGTATGAAAACTCTTTTTTCCTACAATATACTCTTATTTTAGTTCCCACGCTCATAGTAAACTGCAATAGTTTTTAAGCACAAATGTATATAAAATACCTTATTCTTATAATAACCTAAAGATATTTTATTTACATTAACCAACGATGGTCAGTATCATTTTGTAGCAAATATTATTAAAATAGTTTAATTTGTATGTTTGTGATATGTATTTAGTTGTTTACTTATGTGCCTGTGTTCCTTTTAAAAATATTCCTAGATGAAGAGAATTGTGCATTTTTTCATTCTGAGAGTGTCAGAATGGTGTTCAGGTCACACGGCCATGTCTCATTGCACTTCAACAGAACAGGACAAGTTTGAACTTGAATGCTATTCTCTTTGTCCAAAAGAAGCCACATTAACCATTAAATATGATATTTTAGCAAGTTACTAAAGATAATATTATTGACTTTTTAAAAATATGTATTTTAAGACAAATAAAGATGTAGTGGACTATCCCAAAGTGACATGTTTTTATGTTGTTTGGTACGTGAACACCTTTGACCTGCTCCATCTGCAGGTTTCCCGTGGTTATCACTGTGGGAAAGTGATGAAGGGCATTTGTTCCTGGCACGACCATGCTCCCCACAGAGCTCTGAGGGGATGTGATTAAGTAGCAGATGGTGCCCTGGCACCCTACTGCTTGACAGCCCCTCACCTGCTCTGTCAGAGACTATCATCAGAGTGTTGGCCTGAGAGACAAAAATAATAACAAGTAAAACAGGAACTCTGGCCTGGAGCCCTCAGACACATACTCTGCAGGCTCTAGCAAAAGTCTTCCAGGTTAAGAACACCTCACACTCTGATCTTTAGAAGCTGTCACATCTTCTTTTGTGCTCAACTTCCTTTTTTGAAACATCAAATATCAATTCATCTTCAAAATTATTTGCTTGATGGTATATGGCAGGTTTTACAGTTTTCTTGATAGTTGAAATGGAAGGAAATTGTCAAGTTTAGTTTTACCACATAATTCCCCACACTTCCCTCTTGGGAAACCAGAGTATTCAGGCCTCTGTTCTGAGCTGTGTTAATCCAGTGCAGGGCCATGGTGGCCATAAAATTTACTCCATCCAGGCCATTGAGAGCCAGAGTCCTCAGAGGGTTTATCAATGGAGACTGCCATATTGAAAGGAAGACTGAACTAGCCTCACTAGTAGGGAGCCATTTGGGACACTGTGCACCCCCATGAGCAGTAGGAACCTGGCTGGGGGTGGCCCCAAGTGTCTCACTGGGTCTGATCAGGGATTCAGTGTTTAAACAGAGA